ATTCATTTTTATCACAGGAGGAAACATTTCTTTGTAATTAACTTCTTCTTCTTGTCGATTACTACAAGCAACGACTCTAGCCTTATACCTTTCAATTGATCCATCTACATTATACTTTGTTGTGAATATCCACTTGCATTCAATCACCCGTTTTCCATAAGTAAAAGTTCAGTTGACCATGTCTTATTCTTCTCTTGGGTCTCGATCTTAACTTTTATTTCTTTTCCCCATCTTGGATATTTCATTGCTTCAACAAATATATTTGGCACAGTTCCTGCAGTTACACTAGCCAAAAACCATCTATATGACTCAGAAAATCTATTAAAATTCACAAAGTTCTTTGTTCCATATTTTGAACTTCCATCTGGATTCACAGTAGATAAGGACATAGGAACATGAACCACTCTGTTAACCACATAATCACGTTGTATCTGATGCAACAGTCTCCACATGTGTTTCTCCTGTAGGTTTAGACTGTGTTCTTGTCTCACCATGGGTCACAACTACTATCTCTAGCTGTGTCATACACTACTTCATTCTCAGTTGCTTCCTCTGACACAGTTATTAGTTGTTGCACATCATTTTCAACAACTCTTGTGACTTCTTCTGGCACTATGCCACACATTGTATCATTATCTCAATAGCTTCTTCAACCCTTCTTTCAAATCCAGACTCATCCATAAAAGGAGAAACATGACTCAGTCCATCATGTATAGACACGTTTGATTCTATGTGAGCTTCAAAGAAGGAAAACTTATCTTCGATGAAAGATACATCTCGAGACATAAATTATTCTCTTGTTCCTAAATCAAATATAGTCCACCCTTTCTTCACAAAAAAATAACCGATGAAAACACATTTCCTACTACGAGTAGCAAACTTGTCGCTATGACCTTATGATTATGAGCATATGCAAGGCATCCAAAAATCCGTATATAACTATATGTAGGAGCTTACCCAAACAAAATCTCATAAGTGCTTCTTCCCTTATGTATCTCACATGGCATCTTATTGATTAAATGTGATGCACCCAACGCACAGTGACCCCAAAACTCTATAGGAAAACTCACTTAAAACCTTAAAGCTCGTGTCACATTCAATATATGCCTATATTTCCTCTCAACCCACACACGATGTCAAACGAATTACTCCTAATTTATAAACGTAGTCTCTCATCTTCAAGAACTCGCTACCATTATTACTCTTCACTTGCTTATCAAATTGCCTCTGAACTTAAACAAAGAAATCCATTATTGTTACTTCAACTCGAGTCTTGTCCACTAGCAGAATTTACCCAAATGGCTCTAGAATAATCATCCACAATTGTAAACAAGTATGAAAAAACATTCAATCTTGGCGTCCGATACGGTCTCCCATTAATCATAATGTATCATCTCAAAGCACTCTTTGATTTTGTTTGAACTCAGCAGAAACTCACTTCACCATTGCTTCGCTTTGAAGCATATGTCACACCAAGATACTCCATTACTTCCACCATCAATTCCATGTAACTTCCTTATTACCTTTTCAGAGGCATGTCCTATCCTCTTATGTCAAACTTCTAAGGATTCAACCTTAGGTTCTCTTCTAACACTTTGAATATGTTTAATACCTTGAAAAAAATAAAGTCATTCTCTTCTTTCGCATGTTCCAATCACCATCTGCACACCAACATCATATAGAGGACATCCTGTCTTCGGAAACAATACAATGTAACACAGAGATAAAACTACACTTCAAATCTTCCACAAAAAGAACTCGTGTCAAAACAATACTTTCTTCTCGGTCGACAACTACACTCTTCCCATTAGGTAACCCAACTAAGCACGGTGAGACTCTGTAGACATCAACAAGAGAGTTTAATGTACTTGTAATATGATGTGAATCTCCACTATCAATTATCCACTTATCCATGAACTTTTTTTTCACTAAATTTTTCTGCTGATTCTGATTTTAAACAAGAATCACCCAAAATTTGTTCCCATTGCTCTTTGTTCCAACCAATTTTGGCAAGAGAATCAATATGCATCGTAACTGTGTGTGACACAACGGATATGTGTGCCACTGGACTCTTTTATCACAATGAAGCATCTTCCATAACTTCTTCTTCAACACTCTAAGATCGCTTTTCACAGATCAATTCTTATCAAAATTCTTCTTCTTCACCTTCCACTAACCAAACAAAAACTCAACAGACCCAAACCATCTTGAAATTAAATCACAAATCTCAGAATCAAAAAACCCAAAATTGATGAACAGTGCCCGACGAATAGTATTCGAAGAACAATACTCTATGAATATTATCCCGTGAATAGCACCGCCAAAATTAATAACAGCTTTTCGCAAATCCAATGAACAAGAAATTCAAATTTCTCTCTGATACTATAAAAGATCTGAAAATTTCTCTATATCATTTATTGTTAGCATTTATAAAGTGATCTCTCGATCACATATACAAACCTTAAAACTATTAATGAATATTTTGCAATCGTAGTCCATAACCGTTACATAATTTTAATATATCTCAATATATTCTTTTTGATTAGTCTCATCTCCTGATTTTCTTCTTTTCTGCTTCAATTAACTTCTATAATATCTCACTTTTTCTGTTTTGCTTGATAATTTGGGCTTTTAGTTCACGCTTCATCAGCAATAAATTTACAGTTTTTGTAAATTCCAGCAACAAAATTAATAAACCGAGATAACCAATACCAGACTGAACCATATCAGTGATTTTTGGTTCAATTCGGTAGTTTTTTTCTTAATCAAGGATAACCGGAAAACCGTACTAACCTAGCTGAAGTATCCAGAATAACTTTAGTCGCAATTTTGTTCAAACTGAATACTCTTTAGCCGAGGTAACTCTTATAAATTGAATGAATTAAAACTAGCGTATTGAAAATGTAAAGAAGCCGAATGAACCGTATGGAAGATGTAAGGAGTTACCTCGGTTTAGTTATGTCTCTTTAAATTCTAACAAACCTAATTTTTCATCTAATCTTCTGTTTGAGATAAGCGTATGGCAGATGTAAAGAGATCGAATTGAACCAAAGTATCCTAACTATCCTTATTTGAGGTATCTCTTATAGAGATGTAATGAATTAAAATTAGGTGTATTAGAATAGAATTGACTATTAGATTACATTGCATAGGTTAACAAATGTTATTTTTCGTTGTTGTATTCAGATATTTTAGTGTTTGATATGATTCTTTCAAAGTAAACAATTTACAAACTCATCGACTTGATGCTTTACAGGTATGGATTCTCCAAGAACTTGGTTTACTTTCCAGTTTTAGTAGCTTGAATAATTATATAGTATATTTTTATTTATCTAGTTAATATATCGGCTCCTGGTAAGAAAATATATTCAAAACATACCATATATATATCAAACTGCACTGCCGAATTCATGAATATAAAATATTATCATCTAGAATATCTTTACAAAGAGCCAATGGTTTTCAACTATCATATATTTCTCACCCAAAGTTTCAACAAAGCTTATGTTTTTTTTTGTCAACCTAACAAATATATTATATTTCGTTCTTCAATATCATTTACAGAATTTTAATATTTTAATATTTTATTACCAATCTGTTCTAGCTAGTTTATATTTTAATTTAAAACTGTAACTTTGGTTATCATGCCGTACAAATAAGTTAAAATGGTTTAATACACTTTAATTTGAAGATGTGTTGTTTAACACAGTTGGTTTTTTCTTTCTGCATTTTGTTTGTGTAACTCATCATAACATGGAATCCAAAAGTAGACGGAATGAAATAGACTGTGGCCTGCGTACATGATTCTAGATTGAAGGAGCTAATTAAGTGGGGGTTATTGGTTCTGGTATTTTAATGAATTTGTTGGATTTGAAATTTTTTGATAAATTCAGGGATTTACAGGATTTAGAAATCTTTAATAATAGATTTCAAAATATATGAAATGGATTTGAAAATCAAATAAACAGATTTCTGTAAATCCATATAGTGGTATCCTCAATAATTTCTTAACCCTAAAGCTTCCCAAACTATACCAATGTTCTACCAATGGCGTCATCAGATTCCACTCGATTTTTCTCATTTCCGCAGCCGTCCAGTATAAAACCTAATAAGGCTAGACTCAATATTTGTTCCTTTGTATTTTGATCTTAAAAGTACTTATAAATCCACCAAAATCTAATTCTAAATCAAATCTTAGAACAAATCTTTATTATTGAATAACACATGATTTTAAAATCCATTTTAAAATAATAGAACTAATAACATTGGATATGGATATGGATTTAAAATCATAAAATTAATAACACTGAATTTGAATATAGATTTTAAAATCATAAAACCAATAACATGCGATTTGGCTTGGATTTCTAAATCCACTAAAATACCCAAACCAATAACACCTTCTAAGTCACTTCAATTTTTATACAAACATATGGTTAGCACTTAGCTATTTTTCTCCTTGTATTATTGTATAAGACGGAACAAAAACTTAAAAGACCAAAGCTAACTGTAAGCTTTTAGTCGTATATACTTGACATATGCTGAAGACATAATTACTTATGTTTCAGAATATATAACTACATTTTTATTAGCCATTTACATCTCTGAGAACTCATCACATATGTTGTCCACAAAAAAAAAAAAAGAATTCATCACATATGTTATAACATGCCTGCCACTTACAAAGGCCGTCACATTGTTAGTTTCAGTGGGAAATTTCAAAGATGCCCAATATAGCTGTAACATAGTTTTGTTAAACAATAGAACAGCATTTCCCTCTAATATTAAAATTTAAATAACAATAAAATAGTGAAGTTGTTCAAAATTTTATTTCACATCTGACTTCTATAAAATATATATAATATAAAACAAATTGTGCAAGACATGAAACATATTCACTAACGTGCTTAGGTGTCGTTATGAAATTGGAAACGTACCTTAAGCACAACAAATTTTCTCAAGTCTTTGTACTAAACATTTTTCTTCAATACAACCAAAAAATGGCATGTCTCTGCATCAATTTTAAGAAGAAGCTCAAGAAACCAATACCAGAAGACAATGACCATCAAGAAACAGAGTTACAGAGCCGAGAAACAACACCAAAGCAACAACCTCGTCAAAGACACATAGCTCCAAGAGCCAATAATATCCAGATCGTGGTGCAGCCTCATAAGCTCCCACTTCCACTTCCTCTTCCGGTTCCTCAGCCTCAAGAACAACAAAAGCTAATGCACCAACCAGAACCGATCTTAGGGAAGCCATTTGAAGACGTCAAGGAGAAGTACAGTCTTGGTCGCGAATTGGGTCGTGGACAATTTGGTATAACGTATTTATGTACAGAGATCTCATCAGGAAAGAACTTCGCTTGTAAATCTATCTTAAAAAGAAAACTCATCAGAACTAAGGTAAAAAATCTAATAAGACCCCAAATTTATGTTAATAAAAAAATCCGAATTTGTGAAATTTAGATTAAGTTTTAATGAGGATTAATGTGACAGGACAGAGAAGATGTAAGAAGGGAGATACAGATAATGCAGTATTTATCAGGGCAACCGAACATTGTGGAGCTTAAAGGAGCTTATGAAGATAGACAAAGTGTTCATCTTGTAATGGAGCTTTGCGAAGGCGGCGAGCTGTTTGATAAGATCAGTAAACGAGGGCATTACTCAGAGAAAGCAGCCGCAGAGATCATCAGATGTGTAGTAAAAGTTATAGAGATTTGTCATTTCATGGGTGTGATGCATCGTGACCTTAAACCCGAAAACTTCTTGTTATCCGGTAAAGATGAAGCCTCCGCGATGCTTAAGGCTACTGATTTTGGTGTTTCGGTTTTCATCGAAGAAGGTATATAACAAAAAAAGCAGAAATGGTCTAATCAGAAATGGATATTCTTGCAACCGAATTATCTTTATACTTTCTTGCAACCCAAGAACTATTATACTGTCTTTATTTTTCCTAGGGAAAGTGTACGAAGACATTGTAGGAAGTGCATATTACGTTGCACCAGAGGTTCTGAAGAGAAACTACGGCAAAGCAATTGATATTTGGAGCGCTGGAGTTATTCTCTACATACTTCTCTGTGGAACTCCACCCTTTTGGGCCGGTACTCTTTAACCGGACGACTTGGTTTTGTTTTGTAATTTCTCCGGTTTACTGATGTTGTTTTCTGAAGTGTAGAGACTGATAAGGGAATATTTGAAGAGATTTTGAGAGGAGAGATTGATTTTGAGTCGAAACCGTGGCCTTCAGTCTCAGAGAGTGCTAAAGATTTGGTGAGGAACATGTTAATGGCTGATCCCAAGAAGCGGTTTACTGCTGCTCAAGTCCTAGGTAAAGGTTACTAGTATACTTGGTTTGTTTCGGTTTAATGTTATGAATTGGGTTAACTAATTTTTTTTTTTGTTTCTGTAGAACATCCTTGGATACGAGAAGGTGGAGAAGCTTCGGATAAACCGATCGATAGTGCAGTTTTGTCGCGGATGAAGCAACTCCGAGCTATGAACAAGCTTAAAAAGCTTGCATTGAAAGTAAGTGTTCCCGAGGGATTGGTTTAATTAGTTGTGAATATTATATCGGTTTGATTCAGTTGTAGAATTTGGTTTGGTTTGGTTTTTAGTTTATTGCTCAAAATCTCAAAGAAGAGGAGCTAATAGGTCTCAAGACGATGTTTGCAAACATGGATACTGATAAGAGCGGTACAATCACAAAGGAAGAGTTGAAAACTGGATTGGAAAAACTCGGTTCAAGGTTAACAGAAACCGAAGTTAAGCAGCTCCTGGAAGATGTAAAACGTGCTTCTCTCTCCTTTTCCATTTATTAGACCGGTTTTGATGATTTTGGTTAATGTTCTCGGTTTAGGTTGATGTTGATAGGAATGGTACGATTGATGATTTTGGTTAATGTTCTTGGTTTAGGTTGATGTTGATAGGAATGGTACGATTGATTACATTGAGTTCGTCTCGGCTACAATGAACCGGTACAGAGTTGAAAGAGAGGAGGATTTGTTCAAAGCTTTTCAACACTTTGACAAAGATAATAGCGGGTACATTGAAAAAAATAAACGCTTTGCTCCTAAATAAACCAGACCTAAACCGAATCAGTAACCAATTGAATGTATTTTGGTAGGTTTATTACAAGACAAGAATTAGAAACAGCCATGAAGGAGTATAATATGGGAGATGATGCCATAATCAAGGAGATTATATCCGATGTTGATGCTGATAATGTAAGTCACATATTGTAATTAAAATAGTAAACTCCAACATAATTTAATAATTGTTAAAATTCTCTTTTTGAAGGATGGAAGTATCAACTATCAAGAGTTTTGCAGTATGATGAAGAGCAGTTCACGATCACATCAGTCAAATTTGATTCAATAACATTGTGGACCAAAGACTCTTTTGAAAAAAGAAAAAAATTTGTACAATGCATAAATGTCATATTCTCAACGAACCTTTAATCGAATAAGCCCATATAAGGCCCATACAAGGCCCAATAAACTTATTAGGGTTTAACGCTTTCCAAAAACTGTTCTTGGCGATTTTTGTTGCATTTGATTTATGTGAGTCAGTGATCGATGAGTGAGGTTTTGAGACTGATCTTTGTAAGCTGCCCGATTCGTTATCTTGTGTTCCTTTAGGTTTGATCCCATTGGATTATCATGTTCTCTTTAATACTCTATGGAAGAAAGTCACTGGAGTTGCAGAAATGGCGTCACTTTATATTTTCAGTGAGCCTTTTTAAAAAAGCATCCAATTCCTTCTCCTCTGCAAGTGCTAATGTGAGCTCACGAGATGTACGAAAAGGTAATAACTTTACGGTGTCTTACCTCGTCGAATCTCTGGCCTTAACTCCAAAACTGGCGGAATCGATCTTGAGGAAAGTGGGTTGCGAGGACAAGGGCAATCTTGATTCTGTTCTGTCTCTTTTCAGGAGTCATGGGTTTACAGATCCTCAGCTTTCAAGCATAGTTACGGATTACCCACAAGTGCTTATAGCAGATGCTGAGAGATCTCTAGCTCCCAAGTTTCAGTTTTTAAAGTCAAGAGGAGCTTCAACCTCTGAGCTCACTGAGATTCTTTCCAAAGTCCCAAGAATCTTGAGAATCAAAAAGGACAAAGCTTTCAGCATCTACTATGATTTCGTCAAAGAGGTTATAGAAGCTGATAAGAGTTTCATCAAGTTACCTCAGTTTTCTTTGCAAGAGGGTAGTAGGCAAGAGAACAAACTCAGAAACATATTGGTTTTGAGAGATTTGGGTGTGCCTCAGAAGTTTCTGTTCTATCTGCTCCTCTCCAACTTCCAGAATGTATGTGGTAAAGAAAGATTCGAAGAAACCCTCAAGAAGGTGCTTGAGATAGGGTTCGATCCCACCACCTTCAAGTTTGTGCAAGCCCTCTACCTGCTTTACCAGATGAGTGATAAAACAAGACAAGAAAAGCTCAGTTTCTATAAAAGGTTATTAGGCTTTGCTGTGGATGAAGTATGGGCAATGTTCAAGAAGAATCCAAGCTTTCTGATGCTCTCCGAGAAGAATGTATTGAGCTCCATTGAAGCATTTCTAGGCCAGGGATTCAGCAGAGATGAGTTAAAGAAGATGGTCAAGTGCCATCCTCAGTGTCTTAATTACAATGCAGAGATGTTGAAGAAGAAGATTGAGGTTCTGGTGAAAGATATGAATTGGAAAGTCAAGGCTGTAGTCTCGAACCCTTCAGTACTTGATTACAGTTTGGAGAAGAGGACTATTCCAAGGTGTAATGTTATCAAAGCTCTCATGTCCGAAGGATTGCTTGGAACTGAACTCCCTTCAATTGGGTCTGTTTTGGTCTGTACCAATGAGATGTTTTTAAACAAGTATGTGATGAAGCATGATGGTGATAAGAAGCTTGTGGCTAAGTTGATGGCTATCTTCACAGGTGGTCATGTTTCCTAGATCAGAAGGGTTGTCAAGGATTAAGCTTTTATTTTATGAATAGCCTGAAAATTCAAGATCTCAGAAGCCTTAAACTTTGAGGCAATGCAAGAGATTACATTCTAATTCTAAGCTTTTGTGATCTCAGCCTGATCCAGTCCCACTTAGAAAAAACTTAAAAGCTGTGATTCTGAATCCCTTCTCTGATTTTGAAATTTAGAGCTCTTAGTCTTAATTCATATTACAGGCGTGGGAATGAAGGGTTGTTTGAGCAACATACATTCTCTGTCTCTCTCTCTTTCCTTGGCATATACTTGAAGCAAAAAATCTCTTCTCTTTTGCGGCCCTGCAAGTGAGCTCACTCTCAGAGACCAGTTTCTAGGAAAAATATGTTCTCTTGATTGAAGTATCACTGCACGAACCTTTCTTAGAGTTGGTGGACTGTACAGATGAATTGTTTTCAGGTAACAAATGTTTTGAATTTGTCTGCTTCTTTGACCTGGAGATTTAAGAACTTTGCTTTGACAACTTCAATATGTTAGATGCAGTACTTCAATATTTTATTTAATGTTCGTAGCAAACTAGCAAATATTTGATCTCCTCGACTTCAATATGTTGTAAGGGATTTTCATTAGAATTCTAAGGTTTTGGTGATCTCAGCTTGGTTTGTAACCGATTGAGAAAATAACTTAAAAGCTGTCATTTTTAATTCCTTTTCCGAGTTCGTAAGCATGGAAACGTGGTGATATGATAATGCAAAAATACAAAGGAGGTTAGTAGATAATTGCACCCCAAGAACAAGTTGTTGAGCTCTTAGATGACGACCACGGGGTTTTAATATTAGAGGGCTCTAAATCTTTCATTGGTGAACTGATCGATTAGTTTTTGATCGTTTCTTCATACAAAAGAAAGTTGGACTTCAATCATCATATTCATAAACAAAAGTTAAAAGTGAAGAAAAATAAAAACGTGTTCATAAAAGGAAAAGAAAAGTATGGAATAAGGTTTTTTTTTCTCTGAATTTTGTTTTTTTATAACAAACAAAAACAAAAAGTCCAAAATATACGAACTATCTAGAAATTGAAATGGGTTTCAAGCCCAAAAATACTAAAACTCTAACAGCAAAACGGCACCACTCACACATGGCCACGTTCAATCTCTTTTTCTTCTCCAAATCCCACCGGAATGAGAACCAACCAGAATCTTATCATCGTTACCGTATCCCACCAAACCGTAACCACAAACATAACCTCTTAAACGTCTGCTCTACAGATCACGGAGAGCTTTCATCGACCGAGTCGAGATCTCATCCGTCAACAACCAGAGAACCAGAAACCTAATATCCTCCATAGCCTAACATTACTTCACAGAGATCATCTATCGACTAGTGTCAAGATCTCATCTAATAGACATAAAAACTGAAGGTTTAAAGGATCCAGACCACATCACAAACAAATAAATAACCTCTTTCTTTTTTTTTTGAATTGAAAAAAAAAAGAAAAAAAAAACATCTTTCATGTTCAAAGAATCAAGATCGGCGACGCAGAGCATAGAAAGCCTCCACCCTCGAGGACACAAGCCAGCGACGGCAGAGCTGTATAAGCCTCCCCTTCTCGGAATCAAAAACAACTTTCAAAACCAAACCAAATTTTAGAGAAACAACAAACTCTCCCTCTCATAAGACATGCATACTAGAGAAATCACAAGAAAATACAAAACACAAGTAAAGCCGGACCAACGGCAGCTAAGGAAGCCCAAACCGTCGGCCGGAACCCAGATCTCTCCGTCTCTCTCTCTTACGCGTTTTGTTTTTTTGATCAAGTGAATTTTCTGTTCTTACATAAATAAAAAAGAAATGTTTTTTTTTAAAATGTATGAAATATATTCTCTCAAGTATGGAATAAGTTTTCAAGCTTTTTTCGCTATGTATCTCAAAATAATAAAAAAACTCGGATAAGATATGCGCCTTGCGCATAGTGAATTTATATGAAAAATTATTTAAGAAATATTATATGAAAAAAAAGAAAATTTATATTTTCGATTGAATTAATATTTTTGGGATTTGAACAATTTTCTTTTTTGGTTAATTACATAATTTGTTGACTCATCTCACTTTTAAAAATATATTTAAAAAATCATTTATCATATAAGAACCTAAGGTCTAGACCGAAGAATTTCAAGTCTACTATTTGGTTACAATGAAACTATGTCAACTCAGTTTTATATCATGATTTAACAATTTAAAAATTAATTATGGTTATGAAAAGTGTACGTTCAGGTGCTAATCCTATCTTTCTTCAATATTTTTTTTTATTTTTGGTGTCGCTTTTTAATTTTGGTTATTGTTCTATATCAATATTGATTTTTATTTTATTGTCATTTTTTCTTTTGTTTTCGGCATGATGTTTGGAAAATATTTAAGATTTGAAATTATTAAAGAGATATATACTTATGTTAAGATCCGCGCTTTCCGCAGATTAAACATTTTATATTTATAATTTATTTTATGTTTTTTGTATATTATGAAATAATAAAATAATAATTATATATTAAATAACCAAGAAAACAATTACTAGTACTTTTATGTAATAAATTGGCATACACATATAAATTAAACGACCGCTCTTGTTTATTCACAATTCTTTTAGGGCAAATAAATCAAAACAATCAATCTCATATATAGTATATGATATATAATTAAATTTAGTGATATTAACATAGATATATAGTATACTTTTAACATAGATATTTAGTAAATGAGGTTTTTACGCATATGATTTTATCATTATTTGCATATTTTTATAATAACATTTTACACTAACAATTTTTTTAATGTGGATTGTTTAGTGGTTTCAATAATTTATAATCATTTAAAAAAAAATGAAGATTTCAAAATTAAAACACTACAAGAAAACTCGTCCATTACTAGGACGGGTTTTCCTCGTTATTTCCTAGTAAATAGCCTTTTACTAGGAAATTACGAGGAAAAGCGTTTCCTCGAAACACGTTCATCGTAAAGCCATTTTCCTCGTAAGGTCCTAGCGAATTTACGAGGAAAGCTTTCCTCGTAAAGGCGTGGTAATATTTTCCTAGTAAGGTCTTCGTAAGCTTTCCTCGTAAGCTCGTAGTAAGAATTTCCTCGAAAGGTCGTAGTAATATATTACGAGGAAATTACTAGAACCCTTTACGAGGACATTACGTGGAATACTTTACGAGGATTTTGTTTGGAAATGTTTTTTTCCTATTAAAAAAAATAATTACAAATAATTAATTTATTTTTTAAAAATAAAAAAAATCAAATTATAAATAAAAAAATAAAAAATAAAATATTTTATAAATAACTAAATAATATACAAAAAGTTTTAAATTCATAATATACAAATAAAAATAAAAGAAACTACGGATGCTGGTCGTGAAATTCCTGAACGAACTGGTCGTCGTCCTGGCTCGGCAAATCCTCTCCATAGTTGGTTGCCGGCTGTGACTGTGATGGCGGAGGATGTTGGGTACTTGGAATCCCTGCACGTTCCCGTCTCTGACGCAACATCTCCTGCACTTGCGAGTTTCCAACCGCCATAATGTCGAGGATATCTGTGAGAGAAGTGACATGCTCGGTGAGCGAAGTCACATGAGACTGCGTCGCCTGCAACTCCGAGCGCAGCTGAACATTGACATCGTGCTGCTCCTGATGATAAGACGATGTCGCTGCAGGGACATCGTTAACCGAGGCAATCCCGATAATACGCCCCTTTTTCCTAGGGGCGACCTGAAAATAAAAATATTAATAACATTAAGAAAAATTTAAAAAATATTAAAAATTAATAGTAAAACAAATTATTTACCTCCTCGTAAATCTTATCCACGTCAACAGTGGATAATATGACTGGAGACCTAGTCTGCTGAGTCAGCTGGGTCTGGCGTTCGTTGACCTCGGGTAAGTCCCCATCTCTAGAAACAGCCTTTTTTCTGATGACAGTCTAAATATTGGAACTGGAACTTGCCCACTGATTTTTATATGTAGCTCACTCCTTGAGCAGATATCGGGTAAGTCCAACCTTGATTTTACGTTGTCTTTCGTCTTCCCTGGGACATTCAATATAGTGTTCATGATGTTCTCAAAAAATTTCTTTTCTATATGCATCACATCGAGGTTGTGGCGCAAAAGAAGATCTTTCCAATATGGCAATTCCCAAAATATACTCTTTTTGTGTCAATTGTGCTGAACACCATAAGAATCAGGCATATTACTGGGAACATGCCAATTCCCACCACGAGGAGCTGTTTCTAGAGCACAGTAGTAATCGATTTGCGCTTCGATTTGTTCTCCGGTTAAATATGGAGGAGGAGTGTCTCTAACAACCCTTTTGTGCCTGAACAATTTCTTGTTTCTTCGGTATGGGTGGTGAATGGGAAGAAATCGACGGTGACAATCGAACCAACTAGTCTTCCTACCATGCTTCAACTGAAACGCATCTGTCATTCCATTACAATATGGACAAGTTAATCTCCCATGTGTAGTCCACCCAGACAACATACCATATGCAGGAAAGTCACTTATGGTCCACAAAAGCATCGCTCGCATCGTAAAGTTTGTTTTCGTTGAACAATCATATGTCCTCACCCATGTTGACCACAAATCTTGCAACTCTTTTATCAGTGGTTGTAGAAAAACGCCGAGAGATCTTTTTGGATGTTTTGGACCAGGTATTAATATGCTCATGAATAGAAACTCTCGTCGCATGCACATCTCCGGTGGCAAGTTATACGGTGTAAGAAAGACCGGCCACAATGAATATTGTCTCCCAGACATTCCAAATGGACTAAATCCATCAGTACATAATCCAAGATACACATTTCGGCTATTGCTAGCGAAATGTGGATGTACATTGTTAAAATGTTTCCAGGCTCTTGCATCTGATGGATGAGTCATCTCTCCATCCGTCTGAGTATGCTCGGCGTGCCATCTCATCCCTCCAGCAGTCTCCTCAGATTGGTACAATATTTTCAATCTGTCTGTGATTGGTAGGTACCACATCCTTTGGTACGGTACCCTATTACGCCCTCGACCTTGCGGGTTGAATCGTGGCTTCTTACAAAATCGACATTCTTCTAACTTCTCATCATCTCCCCAGTAAATCATGCAGTTGTCGATGCAAACGTCTATCATCTCCGAGGGCAACCCTAGACTATATACCAATTTCTGAATCTGATAATAAGATTCAGCAGACACATTGTCTTCTGGCAAATACTCTTTAAACAAGTCTGTCCATGCAT